TAAAAAAAGATTAAATATAAATATATATATATACATATATATATTTGTAAATAATTAAAAATATATAGATTGCGTTTTTATGTAAAAGTAGCAATGTCCTAAAAGTGACTTACTTATAGCCCTAGCAGTAATTACATTAATTAAACATTGAAGATATATTGGGCCAATACTGGATTAATATTGTGCTACTAGGCTACTTTTACATGAATATGACGAATATCGAAAAAATTCTCTCTAACACAATGCAATATTTTATAATAAAATTTATATAAAAATAATGGTGTTGTGTTGCATATTTTTTTCTCAACGAATTTTCGCTTATGTCATAATCGTCAATTAATAATAATAGATAAAAAAATTCGAAATTGTTAACATAAGTATAGAGATTGATGATTTAAAAATATAAATTTTTGTCAACGTTTTTCAATTTTTATTTTTTGATCGTGACGCTATTTTATTTTGACTTTATTGACAAATATAATAAAGCGTTTTATCTCTTTAACTTATTCAGCTTTTATTTAAATACGTTTTTTTAAATAAAATTTTTTGGTTTATCAAATAATTTTACTTGTCTAAAAAATTTAAAAACATCCATGCGATATAATATATAAAAAGTTCGTATCTTTTGAATCTTCTCATTTCATAAAAATTAAATCGAGATGATTGGAACATTATCATTTCCACTTGTTTTATCGTCAAACTGAAAGCGTCTTAAGCTCGACTTATATCACTTGAACTGTAAAGCACCGTTTATAGATTTCCCTTGGAGACCCGTAGGAAAATCGTTAATTCCCGATGTACCAGCCTCGCATGAAAGAAAAATGATCGCCCGCTGTGTTTTCAGGCGCGGAAATATTAAATTGTATTCCTGCGGGTTTTCGCGGAGCCGAAAGGCGATGCTGGGTCGCGAAGGGTGTCCGAGATCACTAACCAATATTTAATCAACTTTGCAGGAGAGAATATTATTCTCCGGACAAATCAAGGACATATGTATCAGACCACCAAGGGGAGAGACCGACACATTCGTGCGTATATTGATATCAAAGACACGTACAATCTCACGTACGTGTTGTCGCTTCAGCAAACAATGGCGTAATTTTGAAAGTGGAAGTTTTCTCTTCAAAAACTCTTCTTTTAAAAGTTTTAAAATTTTATCATCTTTAATTTAAAAAATCATGAATTTGGATAATCTTCGAACTCGAAAAAAAATAAAAAATGTGAGTAACATCTTTTTATAATTATATGATCTACGCATGTGCGAAATATCGATCACTCTTGTTTGAGTATTATTTATTTATTATTAATCACAAGAATATAAATAAAATATAAACAATTTTTTTATTTTATAATTTATATTATTTGCTTTACTGAACTTTTCTTTGGATTTTATTTCAAATATTTTTCGAAGTTATGCTCTTCTATGTTGGTTCATTTATTTTCCAATGGAAAGTTGCAGTGCTTCCGGCATCGACACGACGCGCAACGTCTCGTTCATTATACACAGAATTTATTCAAAAGGATACGCCTATGTAGCGTTTCGTTGTGTATGTCTCCCGGAGATGTGCACGGTGGCAGCGTGCGACACACGTTCCGCGTGCCGGGAACGAGATTCCCTTGGGATAAGATTCAGGAAAGAGGGTGGAACACCGCGACTGCTCTCATCGTGGTACACACACATACTCTCTCTTTCGTGAGAACAAGTGCAAAACAAATGTCGCATAGGAGCCGGTCGACCGATGCGCCGTTCTATGTTCGTGAAAATTGTTTCTCTAGGTCGAAATAAATCATATTTTCCTTTGCCCCTCTATATGACTATACTCGCGAAAGAGAAGAAATGTGAGAAATTTCAATTCGTTTGGGTGTTAGGGTGTCTTAACTCGCGTGAAAAATATAAAATATGCAGTAGAACCAAAATGATCGCATTACTTTGTAATAATTTCATTATTTAATGAATTTACACTTGGCGAGTTTAAGATTGATAAGATTATTTTTAATTAATTTAAATCTTTTCTTCGCGAATCAAATGGAAATAATAGTATTCTATGCCGTAAACTGTTTAATATTCAATTTAGACTCTATTCAGTTCAATTATCAAAACTCGCATAAAATTTCTGTTAAACTAATAAATTTAGAGATTACTAAAGATACCGTAGAATATTTTTGAAACCAGTGAAAAACATTGAATTATTGTTTGATTTACCAAAAATATTACATAACATTAATTATAATGTTACGATGTGAATAATTTCATCATAAAGATATAAAGTCAAATGACAATTGTTAATCGAAAGAATACAACAAAGATTTTGTATGCAACATGACTTGTTTCTCTAATTAATTTGAATTAAAAAAGTATTATCTATCTTCTATGGCAAAATAATTTTAATTTATTTTTTAATATTACAGCCTACACATATATCTTTTTATTTATTTCTTTCTCAGAAGTATTCACAACAGATGACAAACCTTGCGGAGTCGAAGACTGTTTAACAAATAATAATGAAAAACTTTCAGTAAGAAAGGCAGAAAAATTTACTTTTGCGAAATAAATTTGTAATGTAAAATAGTAAAGTAAGCGACTTATTGTCTTATAATATGTACCTGTTATTTATTAACGTTTACAGATATTTTTAAAGATTCTTTCAATCCTTAATTTTTATGTAGATCAATGTAATCTAATAATGAATTAATGGGATAAAAAATTTACAGTAACAAATCAGAAATACCGTTTGAACATTAAAACAGCCGAGGTTCACAAAAATAGTTTTATACGTTATACATAAAAAAATTCTATTTTCCTTTTTCACAATTTCACTAATAATGAATTTATAATTTTAATAAACTTAGTTTTCCATCATGTGACGGAAATGATAAAAAATATGCGTCAATCATTATACATTTGGTTTATAACATTAAGTTTTAAAATGCAGAGATTTAAAATGCAGAGATTACTTAGCTTTCACCAAAATGATACCGGATCTAATTTATAATGAAAAATATTAAGTTTGTAGAAAATAACATTGTTTTTTTTAAATAATTTTATTAAATGTGTTTAAAAGTCACTTTTTGAATACAAATTTATAATAGTAATTTATAAATAAATAATAATTAACAGATTTTTTTTCAATTACATCGATTCTTAAGCATTCTTTTTGTGAATAATATTATTTACATTTTTATTTAAAATATTTTTATATTTCTTTTAAAATTTTCATCATTGCTGTACTGTACTTTTCTCTATCTGAATAATAATATTAATCTTTCGAAAACGAGTCATATAATCAATTGATAAAAATGAGATGTACAGAATAACAAATCCTATTTGTTGCAATGTTGCTGTTTGAAATAAATGAGAAAAAAATATTACTTTATGGTGATGTTTTATAGCAGATAGTATATATCGCTTCCTTAGTGACAGCTTCAAAAGTGACACAATTTTAAAAAATGTAATTTTCGAGTTATTGCTATGAATGAGTTAAATAAACATTATTCTATCAATCATAGAAAAATCAGTTATCAAATAAGAAATCATTAAAATCGTGTTAAAAAGACTCAAAAAGAGTAATTTTTTAAGAGTTGCGAACGAAAATATACAAAAATGACATTTGGTTATGTTAAGAATATATTCTTTTTGTCAATATTATTTGATTAATCAATAATTTTCTGTCAGGTTAATTTTATTTCTTTTCTGAGAAAATTAATTTTTGTAATTGTGTCACTTTTGACGTAAAAGAGAGCGATATGTATAAAATAAAAAGATGAATTCTGATACACATTTAAACCTGTTAAGAAACGATATAATAATTTCTTTTTTTCTTTATCCCTTGCTTCTTTTTTTTCTCGCTCTTTGATTTAATATTTAGCAGTCAGAATATGAGGAGTTGAGGTGTTTTTGAGCGTCGACGCACGACGCGAATAATCCGGCCCGTGTGATATCCTTCGCACGGCACGGCACGGCACGCAGGTGTAAACAGCTCCGAGGATCTTGGCCGCGGTACGGGACGCGACGCAGCCTCTTGCAGACTCCTCGCGTCCACTGGAGCAGCCAGAACACAACGGCGTCCTTCGGCGGCGTCTCTGCGCGGGATCGATCGTAAAGCTGAAGGTGGGGCGGCCGGAGGGGCGCGTCATCGAATGATAGCACTCATTCGGGCTGATGGCCGTTTGGGGAAGAGGGTTGTCTGGTCTGTAACCTGGGGGTGGCCCCACGTAAACCTCGAGAGGGGTGGAAATTGGTATTGCCGACACGGGGCGGTGTTTCAACCCCCGTTCTCGTCACAGGGATGGTTCGGCTGCTGGCGAATCAGCTTCCACATTGAGAACCCTTTACGAAACGCAACCCCTGCGAGTCAACCACGGCCACACCCACGCTCCTACCCGCGGCACCGGCGGTTATTGAATTAAGCTTATCATTTGATTTTGAGGAGACCCACCAGTCGGTCGTACGGGGCGCTCTTAAGCGGGCCGGAAAACTTCTTCCTATCCGCGGTGTAATCGCAATAATTTGATATCGCTGATCCGATTACGCATCATAAGCCGCTATCGAGGAACCCAACCGGCGGCCCGACACGGTTCCCGGTCTCGCTCTCTGAAGCGTCGCCGACGAGAGAGCGGCGTGCCGCTCCTACCGCTCGCGTCTACCCGGGTCTTACCCGCGGTAAAACGGACGAACGGGCCCAAGAGTTCGGGTACTAACGGGCCCGGATAAGTCGCGCTGCTTACGTCACTTTCTCAATTTCACATCGCATTCGTCATCACATTCATACGTTTTCGCGCGCAACCAGTGTCTTTTTTTTTTCATAAAGTTTACAAGAGACGCATTGTACTTATCTCAGAACAAAACATTAATGTGTTAGATATTGTGACTTTTAACGGCTCACCATTGATTTTTTCGAGTGCATTCGTTCGAGACTCGTCACGCGTGTCTCTTAATTATTGTCACCGAAGTGTAAAGAAACGACTGTCAAAGTACCAAGTGCCATCGGAGTAACGCAAAGTGGATTTACTTGCAGCCAGGCCACGGCATTATGGACTACTCGTATCTGAATCAGGCCGCGGCCGCAGCAGCGGCCGGCTTCGAGGCCTCCAGCTGCGCTTTGGCCGCCGGTGAGATGCAGTGCAGTTACGGAGACCTGAGCTCGTGCTCGCAGATGAGCCAAGCGGCCTATCGTTACACCGCGGCACGAGCCGCCGGATATCCCGGTAATGCTGCCGCTGCTGCCGGTGCTGCGGCCGGCGGCACGCCGCTCACGGCCCATCACACTGCGCACCCCCATGCCCACGCGCACCATGGGGCCCACTCGACCCCCTGCTCCGTAATGGCCGCCAGGTCCCAGGAAGTCCATCGGCACGCCGCCTCCATCTTCCCGTCGGCTATCAATCTTCAGAGTGAGTGATGTTTGAATGTATTTTTCTCAAGTACTCGACCATCTTAGCTATTGATCAACGTACTTTCCTCTAATTTCCGGATTATTAGAAAGTAATTATTAACTTTGCAATTACTGCGATGCTCAAAACTTTAATCCAAGTTTTTATCAAGTAGAAGAATTTTATATCTACTCTTATTTTTTAGACAATTGATTTTATTATTTACAGTTATTTGATTTTATTGTATCAGATTTTTTATGAGGGGAGATTTTGAAAACGATTTTCAAAATTAAATTTTACGATTTTTGGAAAAAAAAGCTATTGAATTTAGACTTAAGATTTTGGATACATATTTTTTCATTTTTTATGTTTAAATTGTGTATGTATATGAATTTTTAGAAGTTATTCTTAAAGTTATAAATCGCTATGCTCATTCTGTTTTAAAATAATTGTAATCACCAGTTGAAGGACTCTATTCATTCGAAACAAACGAACCAATAACATTTTAAATTTGGAATATTATTTTTATAAAATCCTCAAAATTTTCTTTTAGTGAAAAAAAGAGTAAAATTTTTTTTAAATCAGATGTTTATAGTGTCACACCATTTTGTTAAATCTTAATATAATTCTCTTATTCTAATACGATATTCACACAACGATATTCATATTCAAAAAAATTTTGTCTTCATTTGTTTCGAATGGCTAAAGGTGTTTCTAGATGACATGGCCAATGTATACGTCAATCTTGCACACATTCGTTAAATATTGATCTACATTCAATATGGAATTACGTACGTGTATAATATTTGCTAATGTTGGCATATGTTGACTGTATCGTCTGGAGGCGTCTTAAGAATCATTCAGTTATGTCCAACATCATTTTAATATAAGATGTACATAGTGATTTATAACTTTTAAAGTATTGAGCTTAGAGACTGTAAAAAATGTATACATATAGTTTAAACATGAATAATGTGTATTTAAAATCTTAAGTTTCTATATTCAATAGCTTTTTTAAAAAAAAAAGATTAAATTTATCTTGAAAATCGCTTTTTTAAACCAAAACCTTCCTTTTTAATGATAAATTCTTCAGGAAATTTGGTGTCGACTCTTCTTTAATAAATGATGAAAAATATAGATAGTTTTTAGAATGATGAATAAGTGTAGTGAAAGACTTTTCTCAGTATTAAAATTTGGTTACGTAAATAGATATTCTAACTTTCTTTATTTAATTTTAAAGTTTTATTCAGATGTTTGATTAAATATTTTATATTAAATAAAGCTTTTAATTATTAAAAATAGAAATATTGAGATAAGTTTATAATATTTACTCCTCCCAAATTTTTTTTTATAAAAATTGATTTTATAAATTTGAGCAATTTAAAGTAATACGCAAAATGAATAGAATTTATGTAATAATTCACGAAAAATCACACATATTTGTACAAAACAACGTACATTACAATATACACATAGTATGTTACGTAAAAAATTTACGATTAAATTGAAGAAAATATAAAGCATACAACAAGTAACGAAACATCGAAATTAGCAACGAAAGCAACGAAATTATCAGAAAACTTGTTACAGTTATATCACATATAGTTATCTAATAATTATTCAAAGCATCTTATTAAAAACAAACATAATATTCACATGTTATTATTTATTTACACTGGAATATTATCTCGAACTTAAAACTTCTCTGTGTTGTATTAAATGAATCAAGTTAATAAATGGAAGTTAATAAATAATATCGTATATTAACGTCAACATGTATATTGTATATTAACATTGACCATAATAAATAATTCATAATTCCGACTGTAACATGGCTTAACAAGAGCTCCTTTATCCTTGCGTCAATCCGTCGGTCTATGAACGTGCGACGCTTTGTTATGTTTGTTCCGGCGATTTAGAAGGGACTAAACATGTCACACACAAGCAGGGAGCTAATCTCCCTTCGTCCTAGTTGATAATTGATCTCGATTGAATTCAACATCACACATGTTGTTTCGGCACGGTGCGCGCAAGAATGTCACGCAGATATATTATGCAACGTAATATCTGTCATGCTTCAATTAATATTTTATGAATTCACTGAAGGAGCCAGAAATATAAATAGCTACCAAAGCGAAACTGTCATAAGGATATATGTGATATCAATAGTATAAGCTAAAACACTTCCATGAATATATCTTTACGTGATTATTCAAGGATTTAAAAAAATTAAATTATTTGTTTTTAAAAGCATAAAATTGTTGTTATGTTGGTTTTACACGTAATAATAGGTTTAACAGAAACTATATATATAAAACATAAAGTGTATATTTTTTCCTTGAAAACAAAGATATGTGGGATATAATAAATATTATTGCGGGAAATGAATTCCATCCTGTTTATTGTGTTAACAAAATTTTGTACCTGTTATTATACAAATAATTGGAAGTGGTGCAATACATATTCCTATTATAAACATTACATTTAGTATTATTGCTATGATTACTAACATTTTTAATCTTTTAATATATGTTTATTTTTTAATACATATAAAGATTTGCGATATAAAGAAAGTTTGTATATCCACACATACATGCCACAAAAATAAAGAAGACTAATTGAAAAGTTATTTTTTTAATTATAAAAATAATTTTTGTATTTAATGTTTTTCTTAATATAAAAATAATTTTGTTATAATTTTTGTTAATTTTTGTTTTTCTTTATAAAAAGTAAAATTACTATATTTTTGATATAATCAGATACAATTTTATACATTTTTATTAGAGAGCAAGTTATATATGTTACTTATAACGCTACTATCGTTATTTTTTTATAATAGTGATTTGGTGGTAATGATGTTAATTTTTTGTGACGATAAGAGCTAGAATTAGAATAGTCACTTAAAAGTACAAATCGCTATCATTACGCATTTCTCATTGATAATAGTAACGAATTATAATAATGATTTAATAACAATGTTACAATTTTCATGACGCCAGGGAACAGTTACCCTTTTCAATGAAAATTGAATGTATGAGAAACGTGTAATGGTAACAAGCTACTTTCAAAAGTTACTGTTCCAATCCTGGCATTATTATGAAAAATTATACGTCATTATGAAATCATTATTATAAAAAAGTAACGTAATAGTAATAATAATAACAGCGTTATACGCATTACTTACCATAATTATTATTTGTAACTATATGTCAGCAATTTTTTCTCATTTTTTTCAAATTTTACTTCTTATAAAAAACAATGCAGAAATTAACCTTCTAATTAATCTTTAATTATTTATTCTGTACATACGCACAGATATGTATTTATATTTATAGATATAATTATATAGATTTTTTTTATAACGCCAGGTTATTCTCCTGATATTTATGTGGGAAAATAAAAACTCTTGTTTTCTTTAATACGTTTTGAGCTATCATATTTTAATTGTAATTTTGAGTTTTACTATTATTATATTAGGTGTTGGAATTAATTCGTAGCGTTTTACAAGTGATTATTATTATTATTATTATTGTTATTGCCGTTGCAACAAATTTGAACAAACATTTATTTTATTTTATTTATCTATTACGTGTCAAACAAACAAAAAAAAAAGTAAAAAATTAAATTTCAAAAATTACTCTTTATCTCTACATTTCGATTATTTTTATCTTTATTTCTACATTTTTAATTTTAGGTGGTTTGGGATATAAAGCTTACTCAGGACATGATGGCCTCGCGGAGAAGAGAAAACAACGTCGGATACGAACGACATTTACGTCGGCCCAACTGAAAGAATTGGAACGTGCATTCCAAGAGACACATTATCCAGACATTTACACCAGAGAAGAGATTGCTATGAAGATCGACCTGACGGAAGCTAGAGTGCAGGTTAGTCCGTTCCTTATTTTGACGCGATTATTCTTTGTTCTAAAATTTGTTATGCAATAGTACACAAGAAAGAGTAGTTACTGTTACAAATTATCGAAAAGTATTCTGAAAAGTAACATGTACATGTACTGTAACATGTTACAGTTACAATTATTTAAGAAGTAACGAGTCGTTATTTTTCAGTCAATTTTTTGTAATTTTTTGCATTGCTATTTTAAATACAAGAGTGTTACACATTTCTAACATTACTAAATTATTTTTTGTTACATTAAATATTCAATTATGCGCTATATTATTTATAATAATATGTATTTGCACTTGGAATAAAAATTGGGATCAATATTAAGACACGTTTACGTACAAAAATCCTAGCTATAATAGCTTAATTTTTAATGCGGAGCAGTGAAAATGATAATGATGTAAATCATTTTTTTCAATTTATCGACTTGAGATCATTGATGCATCTACTGAAATATGAAAAAAAACCTTTTGTCTTTTGAAATCATAATTATGGCTTCCATCTTTCCATATAGATATTTATAGTAATAATTACCAGGGATAAAAATATAGTCTAATCAAAAATTAATCATTGACGAATATTTCATTTTAGTCAGTTCATGGCTATGTTTGATTTGGATGCTTACACGCTATAAGCTTTATTTTATCTTTATCACTCATTATATACGAAAAGTAAAGAGAATAAAAAACTTACAGCGTATCCAATCCGAACGCATATGTTGACGAATAAATTTTATATAAAGTACATAATTTTAAAAGTAATTATTAAATTAGTTACTAGCAAAAAACTGTAACTAAATTAAGTTACAGTTACTGAAAAAAGTAACTCTAACTGTAACTTTATTACGAGTAACTTTCTAATCTTGATATTATATACAATTAAATATGATATAAAAGCTAATAGCTTTATGGGAAACATTTAAGAACTAAGCCCCTATTCTATAACTCTTAACAACAATGTTGATGACATTACGATAATCATAAGTTTTATACATGGTAAAAGAGTGTGGTAAAAACGACAATATAACGGTACTGATATTGTCGTTAAGAATTATAGAATAAGAGCCTCGGTCATTTTGCATAATGTAAAGAATATAATAAGCGAAATAATTTTTTACTATTATTAGAAGAGAATATTCTTTTTGGATTATATATAAAATTTTACATTATACATATCGTGTAGTTTGCTTCATCTACGCAAAGAGAGGGTTGTTGACTGAAAGTTGAGGGTGAGTTCGCAGAAGGAGTGTAGTGTAATTACATTACAGACTCCATTTTCGTTTTCATGGCTACACCTGCAGGTCGCAAGCTGATGGATTATATGTCTAATACGCGTGACGGATTATCATGAACAAAAGATAAACGACGAAGAATTGTACAAACATTATTGTAAAATTACTTCTCATACGTATGAAATTACGCTTAAATAATATTTTCTCTTTTGCCGTTGAAACGAGCAAAAGTGTAACGACGACTAGCAATTCTTTTTGTGAAAAAATTTCTCTTATTATATCTTATTTATGCGATAATTCACGGAAATTTAATCTTAATATAATTCGAGACTGCACAAGATGTATAAGAACAGTTCTGAATTTATAGCAATTGGAGGTAAACATATTAAATATTCTTAAATGTGACAACTGAGTCCAGGAAAATTGTTCTCGTTTTGTGCGATTTGATTTACACCAATTTTCAGATCATTATACGTGCATAAATCAAAATGTATTTTGTATGATATGGATGTTTTCAAACTAAAACAATCCTTACAAATGCTAATCTTTTTAAAAAATTTTAAATACCTATCCTTAAAAATTGACTTAAGAATTGACTTAAGAACTATGTCTCATACGATTATTTAATTTCCAACATTAATAAGTAATAAATATTGAATATGCTTGTTTAATTCTTATCACGTTATATTAATTCCAATGTTCATTCTAAATAAAACTCAAAATCAGACAATCGTATTTCATGCTAAATATGCCATAAGAATATGAATCCAAATTGTTTGATCTAAATAAATCCAAATTAAATTATTATTTGTACAAATTTAACGAAAGAATTTTATCATTTATTTACGTCATACTTCCTTGAGCATAATTCGTAATATATTATAATTCGAAGATTCTCAATGCCGTAAGAGAACAGTTGCCATTTTCGTTTTTCATCGGATCCTGTATATAGCAAAATCGGTTACGTTTTATAAGAGATAAATTTACACGATCTCTTGGAAACATCTTCGTATTAAAATCGGGAGCTATCTGTCACAGCTTGCCGAATTCTCTCTACTCGCTTATCGTACACATCCATGACGTTATCTGCTCTCCGCTAGGACGCAGGTGTCGCGAGAAGGACAGGTGAGGTACATGTACGGTAACGCGATTAGACAGCTCTCCAGACGCTAACGGAACCTAAAGTTAGACTTCCCGACTGACGTGCATCACTTAGCGCCGCCGAAGTACCTCTTCACCGAATTTCATTCAGATTATCTAGCGCGGACGAGGAGTGCGGACGATTTCATTGGTTTCCAGCTTGGAGAAGGGAGCAATAAATTTAATCTTATCTCGGAGACGTAGGCGCGGATTAATATAACGTTCGCCATCGACGATCGCGATATTATTACACGGTGAGATTAGGGATGGCGATTCGACGACTGTGGAACTAAATCACTCGCTATTTGCGGCGACGACTTGATATTCCAACGCGTATAATCCACTTTTGCACGATGAGTGCGATTATCTTGGCGACGGCAAGTTACTTAAGCTGCCATTAACCCCTTGACCCTACAGCCCTAATCACTGCAGCTGTGTTGATCAAAATACGAAAATCTAGGTAGTTTTGATTGTATACTATATTTTAATCGAACTTAATGTTTTCTTTTGTGAAATATCTTATCTTTATTAATTTTCTTAAAAAGTAGGCATTTATCAATCAATATTACGAATAATATTAAATTATACTTGTATTTACATACATAAAATATGTATGATTTATAGATTAATAATATATTATACTTGAATATTATTATTATGTACCTAGCACAGTTTGATATATCCATACTTTGGTTAAATCATTTTGTGTTTTTTTATATTTAGTAATCTTCTGTTCATGTATTTTTAGTTTTGGTATTTTAAGCAACGCCAGAAAGATGCCAAGATACAAACAGAATTTTATTACCCAAGGTTAAGGCAAGGAAAATTATATGTGCTTGACCATTCGTCATGTTTCAATTAATATTTCTTTTGTAATTTTTTATTTATGTTGTATATATTGTAATTAATAAGGTACTAGGAGAAAGAAGAAGGGAGAATGCATTTGAAAAAATAAAAAATTGTTTTTTTAATTATTTTACCAATATTGAAGATCGTTAAATTAAAGTGTTCATTAAAAAATCGCAGATCGAAAATCGTGTGGTCTTCGAACTTTTTAAGTAGAAATAAAGCTATTCAATCTATCTTGAGAAGAGAGTGAGAGGAGGAACCATTTCTGAGACGTCGATATCCGACATAAAACTTACGTACTTTATTTTTATGAGATTTTTTTCTATTCATATGAGAAGATTTATATGCACTTTCTCAATATTTTTAAATATCTTTTATCCATTTGAATCTTCTTTGTTCTTTTTCTTTTGCAATTTATTTTCCTTTCTTTCTTCTATGTTTCAAGCGCTTTCCTATTCCTCTATATGCTATTTATATGTGCTAGTTTTAAAATTTTTATATGATACAAGTGTATTACATATTTTCTATCCTATTTTGTGTACAAGACACATTAGGAATTTTCTTTTTTTTAATTTGATTTAAACCTTTGAATAATTTAACTACGAATAAGGATTAAAATCAGCTAAAAAGGTGTTCTTTTAAAACAAATGTTAGTAATCTCATCTAAATGGCAATTGTACTGTGTTATGCATCATCGTACATGTTCGTGTATCATGAACGAGGACCGCGCAATAATGAAGCGCGAGATAACTATTAATACTCTAGTAGTTTGCGGGTTCGCGGCGCGACCGCCATCTCTGGTGAGGTTTATCCTCCCGCGGTGGGGTAAGTCCTTTGTCTGCTCGACTTCGCCCTCCTCCATTCTGACAGGACGTACGGTCCCTCAAGAGTTTCCTCGTCCCTTCATTCGTGATTCGTTCGTTCGCTACTGCGAGTTATCCTACCCCCGCTGTCTTCCAACCCTCCGATTCAACCCCTGCGCCCCTACCTCCATCCCTCTCAGCCCTCCATCTCGTCGATGGCGGCTGCTCGATAAAATTTCCTCCCTCTCGCATCGTGAGAGTCATTGGCTTCCTCCGTCCACCCCCTCCTGCACATCCTGCTTCCAGGATACTTCCTAATCGGCTGCCATTACTACCCCTATTTTCTCTCGCTATCTATAGTTTCACTTAGTGCAAAGTATAAATTAAGTTACGCAGGAATGTTTCCGTTAACTCTTTTCCTTGAACATTATCTACCATTATTTCTCCTTCTTCATATCTCATTTAAGATACTTCCTAATCAGCTGCTATTATTATCTTTATCTTACCTTTCTACTTTTATTTAGCGCGAAATATAAATTGTGTGGATATGTGTTCGACAGAGCTTTATTCTGAAGAATTATCTACCTTTATTTCTTCTCTTTCATACCTCATTCATAATGTAATCTAATTAGCTGCTATTATTACCTTTATGTTCTTTTAGTATTTAAAATTTTACTTTTAGCCTGAAATATAAAGTAACGTTTCCGAGATGACTGAGCAAAGCTCTACAATAATATATCATTGTGAACATTTATTGATCTCGTAATTATAACATAAATACTTTATTTGTTATTTTTGATACTTAAGAACGTTTTTTTTTCGAAATCTTGGAAAGTAGATTGTTCTAAATATAAATATATAAAAGCAAACGCGTCATATATTTATATCTAACACTATATCCTGTTTTCGAATATTAGTTTGCTTTATAATTATTTATATTTTTATTTAATTATTTTCA